TGAAAAATGTTTTAATCCCTCAACTTGAGGGGGAGTATAGAAAATAGTTGTTAATAGTTATTCTGTTAGAGTAATTAAAAAGTTAGTTAGTTTATTTTAGTTAGTTTGTAAGTTAGTTAGATATCTAGTTCTTGTATAAATACATTTGTATGTAAGTTTATGCAGATATGATAATGAGGTATTTTTAGTATTTCTTAGGTCATTACTTTTAACAACATCTTGTTACTCAACACCCATATCAGTCAAAAGAGCACTTATCCAGGCTACTTCTGTTGTGAAATCAACAACACTGTGATACTAGGCCCCCATAGTAGACCGTGACATCGACTTTTATTTCCTAGAAGCCCATGAAACAAGAGAATCACCAACGAAAACACAATACCCAGAGATTGACCATATCAACATTCAACGATAAATCATTGCTAACTCCTGCTTGGACTAGGTACCACCATCAGCACCGACAAAGGTCTCATCAAAACTGTACCAACACCTATTAACCAAATGACCAACTTTTCCACAGAGTTAACATTGAACTCGTGGCCTTCCTTGACCCCGACCAGTAGATCTACCACCTCAAGAGTGATGAGATTGATGCCGAAAACGCTTCCCACCATTATTATTATTTGCAAAATTGTTGTTACTCATACTACCTCGAGCAATATGGGCACTGGCCACAAGAGTCTCTTCTTGAGCAGTAAATCTGGCCAGTTGTGTTTCAGCATCAAGAAGCATCTGATACACTTTTTCCAAAGGAAGAGAGTCATCACTCGACGTTATAATGGCCATAAAAGATTGATATCCCATTGGCAATCCTTTAATAATACTAGCAATATGTTCCACAACAGGAACAGAACTACCATAAGATGCAAGAGCATCACATACTTCCTTCATACGAGTCAAGAAGACTCTCATGTTGTAGATTCATTATTTAAGTCGTCGACCTATCAACAAAAAATTGTAGAACAACTTGTCAAATAGCAGTCGCGATCTCTACACTAACAAACTGGGGTAACAAATACGCACTAATTGTGGATAGCAACCACGAATCTAAGGCACTATCTTGTACGATAAAATCCTCGTATGCCACATTGGGAACCAAGACACCATTCTCATCAGGAACCATATCAAGTGGAGTTTGCATCGCACTGGTAAGAAATCGCTCAAATCGATGACTCCTCACCGTGAGAAGTACTTGTTGTTTCCATAGCAGGAAATTCATCTCATCAAGTACTACATTTATTCAACTGTTGGTAAACATCCTGATAACTCTGTACGACTGATCTTCTTCACAGGGAACATCGTTTTGTACCAAAGACATCAGTCTTTAGTTACGCAGCAAAAGAAGCACAAGCTCCAGAATCTATGGCGATTGATACTATATTAAGAACTCGGTGAAAAGTAAAAGAATGAATATTTTCTTCATCATTTCTACCGAGTAACGTACATACTTATAAAGAGGGTACAATAACTGCTACTAATCCTAACAGTATGGCTCAACACTCTAACAAACTTTAACCATCTTAACAACCTAGAGTAGCTTAGCTGGACAACACCTGTAACTGCTTAAAAGATCTTATGGAGAAGATATAAATATGGTACAACAATCTTACATTTAAATACAAATTCATAAAAATATTTGTAAAAATCTCATTATATACATTCTTTTTTTATAATTTTAAATATATATGTATTTAATAATACATATACCTTTTAAAATCGTATATGAAACCGAATATTTATTAATACTACTCAAAACCTTTGTAGAACAATGATGAAAATGCATCGTCAATGATCAACTCTTAATACATTTATGTATATTCTTTTCTTATAGGTATACACTAGTTTTCCATGACTCAACAACATTGTCAATGATTCTCTTTATTCATTCCTCTCAATATTTGAATGATATTCTAACGATAAACGTTGAACATTTGTAAAATGTATACGCTTGATGGAAAACCTACACAATATGATCTTTATCAACATGTCGATGATTTTTTTCAAAACATGAATTGAGTTGGCCAGACAATGACATCAACGCCTGCATACACGGAGGTCTTATCATTCTATGCTCTAACAAATAAAGCAAGACAATGATCGTTTAATCACCCTTATATGCTTAAACTCATGACCTATAGGAATAACAACGATTCCTTTAACTACTGAGGTAAATTGGTTTGTGCTAACTTTTTAATATTTCAAATCAAAGATAATTATATTAAGTACATTTCTCTTGTAAAAGGGAACCTCCCCTATTTTACAAATAGCACAAAAAAGCATTCACCTCTCCATTCATTTTATCCTCTTCACACATTTTCTTTGTTTCCCAATTTGCTCACTGGCTTTGTGATTTCATAGCTCCATTTTGTCGTCATTCTTTCTTTTACATTAAAAAATAACCTTTTCAATTATATTTTCATTATTTAAGTGTATAAATTTAAAAAATATCTCATTAATTTTGAAAATAATGTGTATTTTCGATTATATTGGTCAGGAAAAAAAATTCAATCCAGTTATCTAACTCTTAGGACACTAACAATTCAATCATCGTTATTAGTTTTGCCAACAACTTTTATTTTGTCACTATCGATCTCAAATAAATAATAATAAAAAGGTAAACTTTGCAAATAGTCACTAATGTTTGAGTAAGTTTCATTTTCACCACTGATGTTTCAAAAGTCACAAATCGATCACTAATGTTATCGTTTGTTACAAATTGGTCACTTGACGTTAACAAGCGTGACGGAAAACACAATTGGCTCATTAAATGCTTACATGGACCGAGTTTACTGGGTTGGCCATCACATTTTTGAAACTTCAATGGGGAAAACAAAAACTTACTCAAACATTAATGACCAACTGCGTAGTTTAATTAAGGGGAAATCAAAGGTTTCTTTTACCATTCTGAACCATTCTTCTTCTTCCATAAACATTTTCTTCTACTTCTTCTTCTTCATCTATAAACTCAATTGCTCTTCTTCCATAAACTCGTTTCTTCTTTTTCCATAAACTCGTTTCTTCTTTTCCATAAACTTGTTTCTTCTTTTTCCATAAACCCATTTCTTCTTCTTCCATAAACTCATTTCTCCTTCTTCCATAAACTCATTTCTCCTTCTTCCATAAACTCATTTCTCCTTCTTCCATAAACTCATTTCTCCTTCTTTAATTCGTCTGAGAGAAAAAGTAGTGAGAAAAATGATTTCTTCTTCTTCTTCCATTCGTCTGAGAGAAAAAGTAGTGAGAAAAACGAGCCCATCGTACTTACATGGAGGTTACAACAAGGGACAACACTATGCTTTATGGTAAGATTCTTTTGGGTTTGATAGAAAATAAAAATAAAACCTTAGTTGGGCATCCACAGTTACAAAGTGGAACATCAATGGAGTCTTTCATTCTCACATGATGTTGGAAAATGTTTTTGGACTTGAATTGAATTTATTCAAAGTTTTCAAAAATAATTCAAAGTCCTTAAAACTTGGAATTGAGCACAAAACAATTTTCTGGACAAGAAGTACTGATATTGTTCTTACAGTATTGATACCTCATGAACAATACCGATATTGCTCATATAGTACCAATACCAAAGGTAAGGGAAGTTTCGATACTCACTAGGTAGTATCGATACTACCATCAATGTACAAATTCCAGAATGCAAAAATGGTACTGATACCCAAAGGGGTACCGATACTACTCTGTATAGTAGTATCGATACCATATGCATAGTATCGATACAATCAGCCCCAACGGCTAGTAACGGCTAGTTAATTTAAAAATAACAAAGGTAGTACTGATACCCTCTGTACTTGTCATTTTTATTTTGCACGAAAATTGATTCCCAACGGCTCCAAAACGCTTCTAACGACTAGAAACGGCCATAACAACATTCCAACATAAAATAAAATTCAAGACACTTGAAGAATGGTTATAACACCTATCCAAGCAATCAAACACAAGAGAAGAATTTTCCATTCTTATTTTTCTATTCTCTTGTAAATATTGTGTTTTAGTGAGCTTAAAATTGTAAACACCTACCTTGTAAGGGTTTTCTTGTTTACACTATCTTTCCTTTTGAAAAAGGAGTTTGGTTCTAATTTAGCCAAGTGAAAAACTAAGGAGTGTAAAGGTTATCTCTTAATCCTTTAAAAAGAAAGAATAAATTAGTGAATTTGTTAGAAAATCCTAAGTGGGGAGCTTAGGTAGTGGAAGTAGATTTGGTTAGGAAGTCGAACCACTATAAATCATTGTGCCAAATATATCTATCTTTTTCTCTCCTTACTCCCTAATCAAATTATTGCCAATTCACCCTCTTGCAATTTTTTTGTTGTCAATTCGAGATTCCGCAAATCCTAACACATGATTTCTCCTCTTACAATTTTTAGAATTTTAAAAAAAAATAGATATAGGAATAAAAACCCTAAATTATGTGTAGGGATTAAGTTTTCTTAAAGGAGAATATGTGACATTGAAGGCTTTTGGTTCGTCAACGTGGCGGTCAACCCAGTCCATGTAAGCAGTTAATGCACCAGCTGTGTTTTCCATCACACCTGTTAACAGTTGTTAACATCAAGTGATCAATTTGTAACAAACGATAATATTAGTGACCGATTTGTGATTTTTGAAACATCAATAGTGAAAACGAAAACATTAGTAATCATTCAACTTTCATTAGTGATCATTTTTGTAGTTTACCCTAATAAAAATTACACAGTTAATCACTCAATTTTCATAAATTTTTATTTTAGTGTATTGTGTTTGAAAAATATTTTTAAAATTTGATTTTCAATTATTTGATTTAAGTATTTAACATTATAGTCAAAATATATTTTAAACATTATTTATAAAAATAAGAAAGAATTGATAATATAAAAAATTAAAAAAATCATCTGATTTATTTATCATTGCCGATCCCTTAATTTCAAAAATATTTTTAAAATGGACACCAAACAAACTCTTCTATACTGTAAAATATTTTCCCCAATTTAAAATTCCCACTTTTTCTAGTCTTCCAGGCGATCCTTCATCCCGGCTTTCCCCTTTTAGCAATTGCAAGAATCAGGCAATTATTTTTAAAAGTAATTCGAGGAACCCTAAATTATCCAATTTTAAAGGTAATAAGCTGATGGTTTTATTTCAATAATCTGATTTCCCTACCTCCTTTCTGTAATTTTTGTTATTTTATTCGGAATTTTTACGAAGGATGGTCATTTTTTCTTCTTTTTTCTGTTAGACTTATCGAAAAGTTGTAGCTTGTGGACAAGCTGATTTCCAATTCGGAGACTCTGGATTGAATTCGCGGCGTGGGAACTCCTGAGACGCTGCCGCTGTTCTTAGTCAACAAGTTTTGTGGTATTTCCCCCGCATATTTCTTTTCTGTTTTTCGATTAAATTTTGTATAAAAGAAAATCGGGTTTGTTTTTAGATTTTGCGAAGATAATTTCTGCGGTTTTTTTCTTAGGTGATGTTAATGCAATAGAAAATTTCAAATTTAGGAAATTTAATTAGTTGATTAAGTTTGTTAATTATGGCTGAACATGTTGTATTTTGTTTGATGATTGGCTGAGGCTGAAATCGGGCCCTTTTTTTAGAATTCGTCTTATATTTGTTTAATGATAAAAGTAAAATCTTTGGAGAACTGTAGATAATTATTGAGCTATTGGGTATATATTGTTGATGTGTTTCTTGGCATTGATGTGCTGCTATGAATTTCAGGGGATTATTATGAGCTGCAATAGCATGTAATGGCACCATGAGCATATCATCTTGGTACGGTAGACTTTATAATTAGGTGTTGATAGACGATGTTGTAAAGTATAGAAACCATGGGAGATGGTAATAATACCTCAGGCAGAGGCATTGCGGCCAACAATACTTCATCTACCAACAGTGAGAAGCCAGAGTGGCTGCAACAGTACAATCTTCTCGGCAAAATTGGTGAAGGTACTTACGGACTTGTGTTTCTCGCAAGAATTAAGTCTCTGACCAATCGTGGAAAATGCGTTGCCATAAAGAAGTTCAAGCAGTCCAAGGATGGGGATGGTGTTTCCCCCACTGCCATACGAGAAATCATGTTGCTTAGGGAGATTTCACACGAGAATGTTGTGAAGCTTGTGAATGTGCACATCAATCATGCGGATATGTCGTTGTATCTGGCTTTTGATTATGCTGAATATGACCTCTATGAAATCATCAGACACCACAGGGACAAGGTTAACCATGCTATGAACCAATACACTGTTAAGTCACTGCTCTGGCAGCTGCTTAATGGCCTGAACTATCTCCACAGCAACTGGATCATACATCGAGATCTAAAGCCATCAAATATATTGGTTATGGGTGATGGAGATGAGTACGGGGTTGTCAAAATTGCTGATTTTGGACTTGCAAGGATTTATCAAGCTCCCTTGAAGCCATTATCTGAAAATGGTGTGGTTGTAACTATTTGGTATCGTGCACCTGAATTGCTTCTTGGTGCAAAACATTATACCAGTGCGGTTGATATGTGGGCTGTTGGATGTATTTTTGCTGAGCTTTTGACTTTGAAGCCACTTTTTCAAGGCGCAGAAGCCAAATCTACACCAAATCCTTTTCAACGTGATCAGCTGGACAAGATATTTAAAATTTTGGGTCATCCTACCTTGGAGAAGTGGCCCACACTTGCGAATCTTCCACATTGGCAATCAGATGTGCAGCACATTAAAGCACACAAGTACGAAAATACTGGACTTCATAGTGTTGTTCATCTTTCTCCCAATAGCCCTGCATTTGACCTCTTATCTAAGATGCTTGAATATGATCCTCGAAAGCGTATAACAGCCGCACAAGCTTTAGAGCATGAGTACTTCAGAATTGAACCTTTACCAGGTCACAATGCACTGGTACCCAACCAGCCTGGAGAGAAAATAATCAATTATCCTACTCGGCCAGTGGATCAGAACACTGATTTTGAAGGGACAACTAGCATTCAGCAACCACCGCAACCTGTACCATCAGGAAATGTAGCTGGCGGCATGGGTGGTCATGTAGGGAGAAATGGATCTGTGAATCGACCTATGCCACATCCTCAGGTGCAAAGAATGCCGCAGGGCGTGATGGCTTATAATTACCCATCTCAGGCTGGAGTGGGTGATATGAATCCAGGAGGCATGCCAATGCAGCGGAATCTTGCTGCCCAACCTCATCAGCCGCAACAGTTGAGAAGGAAAGATCCAGGAATGGGCATGACTGGATACCCTCCACAGCAAAAATCGAGGCGCATGTAAGAATGTTAACTTGTATCATGTTAATATCTGATTGTAAATGAACATGGTGTTGTATTCGTTCAATTTCAGTATATTATTAAACTTATTTCATGGAATTTATAACCCATTGACTTGCAAGTTCTATAGATTTATTAATGCAATTTCTTTGCATGTTCAATCACTAACCATGCTTCAAATTCGAAGTCTATACTAATGTAAGCTCCCTCAGGTACGTTGAATAGCCTTGCTGTTGTTTGAACATTTTCCTTGCTGCAAGTATTCCTATGTTGTAATTTTATTAGCAGAGATGAGAATTGGGAGTTTTATTAGCTAAAAGAATGGTTTCTTACAACTTGAGAAAGCTCCTGGAACTAAAATCTGTACTTTCACTTGCAGGAATTCTAGGACAATACAAATTATACTCTAAATTATATCTACAGCCTAATGATAATCTCCAGTACTCTCACAGGAACTCCTTAGATTGGCCACCATGTCGTCAACATACAGTCTGACGATATTGCTGCCCAATGATCTTGAAACATCTAAGACATTCCTGAAGGTCGAAATTGCAAGCTATAAAAACACATTCATTATCGTTGTTCAAATACTTTCCACCTCCAGCTTCAGCCTCTTGGCCACTTCCTTTTTCAGTTCCCTTATACCAGAATTTAAGGAGATCCAAAATCTAATTATGTCTTCTCTGTAAGTAGCCTTAATGGTTACACTTCATTTGCCGCTTAGCTGTGGACTGCTTCAGACGATAATCTGAATAAGGAGGTGGCATCTCATCTATGCCGATTTCTGCTGTTGAAGGACACAGGTTTCTGAAGTCTTTAGAACTTCCGGCACCCTCTACTAGCAAACTTTCAAACGGCTCTTGACATTCTGTAGCCACAAGGGCTTCAGGCATTGAAAATGTGGCTGACATATTCAGTTCCACTAAATTTTGAAAGGCAAATTCAGGAGGATCGTGTGATTTAAAGCATCGATCATGGATGGAACTGAGTGGATCCTTAGTGCCTGCATTTTCAATTTCAGGATTACCTTGACATGGACCCTGAGAAGTAGGCATCTTAACGCCCCCTTCTCTTTGTCACCTTGGCACTTCTTCCCTTTTATACATGTCCGGCGAAATCCCATTCTGCTGAGAGAAGTTCTTGGCTCGATGCCCTCCCTCCTTGCAACCAATCTTCCACCAAAGCTTGTCCATTACTTCTTGGTGTCCTACACATAAGAAATCATCTTTTTCACCCTGAGGCTCCGAAGGATTGGAGTTTGGTGAGTTTTGTTGGTTGAAACCTTTCAAACGGATTGGCCATTGTATGGAACCAACAGCAACTGTGAATGGACTACAGGCAAGTGATGCTAAACCAAATGCTCTATCAGCACCTTGGACGGATTCAACAGCACATTTTAGCATACGAAACGGTCAACTTTGTTGATCTTGCGAGATGGCCATCGGGAGATCCCATGCTGCCTGCAGATGCGCTTCATTGTCGTAGGACAAACTGTAAAGCAAAATCTCTCCGAGCATAATCCATTTTCAATAGGTACAAAAACTATATTCCAGATTATATAATATAAAGCTAAAAGGCAAAGAAAAGTTTTCATAAAGAGCATATTCATACCACAAAGGCTCTTTGCAGCATCTTTGGGACTTCCTGAAAAATACTGTTGGATCACCTCCAGACTAGTTGATTTCTCAGTTTCCCCACGTCTTCAGAATGAGAATTAGCTTCAAAATATACATCGGGGCTCCTTTCCATTACGTTGTGTTCCCTGCAAAATGGTAACCACCAACTTGCCAACTTAGCAGCCTCCATGAAAGCAAAGAGAGTCAAAGCCGAGCCTCTATCATCCAAGACATAGATCGAAAGCTTATCGGCCAGATAATCGTAAGCCATCAACGACAGAGATTCACCACATTCATCGGTGGCTCCTTGTAAGGATCAGCCGTGCATATGAACACATCTAACCCTAAAAATCTTCATCTTTGATGATTCGTTTTATGTTTTCAGGGAACACTTTACGAAGAATTGGGGACATCCGGAAAGCTTGTGCCGAAGCCCACATGAAGGCAAGAACAAGATCAGAGATGAGCAAAGAAAGGGTGATGGAGAAAGAGAGCAAGCTGGTTGTTTGGTAGAGAGAAAGGTTTTGGACATGGTGGTACAATAGAGCTAGGATGGAAGAGAAGTAAACTGCCACAAAGGTTGAAGGGTGTTCGCCTCAGCGGCGACGAATGAAGTGGAAGAGCATTGGTGGTGTTGCCTCCTCTTAAACCTGGGCCTTCCATATTTCTTTGGATGACTAATATGTAAGTTTGTAATGTGATATATACAGGCCGAATGAGAGGAAGAGAAATGTGCTGCAATTGTTCATGGACCCCAATCTCCGTTGAGATTCATGTGTGGCTGAATAAAAAACAAAGACAGCTACATGTTACTGATCATGGTTCAGAACAAGGACAAAGAAAAGACGTAATTATTTTGCATATAGACCAAACATCATCTCATGGTCCAGAAAAAGGACAATGAAAAGATCCAATTATTTTGAATATAGAGCTCCAACATCTTTCAGAATCAGATACCAATACTTTTCACAAGAATGATATCGAATAAGCATTGGCTTAGAGCATTATAAAGTTGAAGATGCATTACTCTGGGACATGAGGAAAATTCACAAATTTGGGGATACTCTTCCTCAATTCAAATCACTACACCCCAGTCGCCTCTTGTTTTTTTAATTGCCTTTATGATTTATTACCGTCTATCTTGTCATTAGATGAACATTTAAACTGGTTCCATGATATGAAGGAATACGTGAAAAAGGGGTTTTTTAGCCTAAATATATATGGCAAATTATTACCAAAAATAATACATGTTTCATAATATTTCTCTAATTGACACCCTTAATTGCAATGCAAGACAAAAGCACATCATATGGAAAGCATTTGCGCCTTCTGCTTACGTGACAAAAGTCCATCAAAACTTTAAAGATTATACGAGCACAGGCCAAACGGAAGCAACATGTATTAGTCTCATCTTCAATCACTTAATAAATATATAATTTGATATTTAAGCATGTTCTTAAATTCCATGTAATGCTATATTTTTGGCAAACAAGGAAAGCTCATGTTGTACGTGTCTCTGTCCTTCAAGGGAAAAAATGTTAATCTGAAAAATAATTTGAAATGGATGTTATTTTTGGATGAAAAAGGCTGCAGAAAGCACTTTGATACGCTAACGAAAGGCAATAGGAATGTATATATTAACCTCCCCATCAAAGAGAATTTATGAGCTCCAATATGACAATCATATGAACTCACTGCTTAAGGAAATAAAAGGTCTAAAGTTTCGCAAAGCAATGAAAATTTACAAAGGATTTGACATCCTCAATCAGCTCACTGCTTCATATCCTAATCCAGGCTATCTTCTAGTCAGATAAAAGGGGCTAATCACCAACGAAGACCGACCCACAGAGGCTAACAACTAAAGGAAACTAAAATGCGACACATTTATATATTTACAAGCAGAGGAAACCAAAAGACTAGAAACACCACCCACCACAACAAGTATTCACATGATCCTAGCCCTAGCCTCTAACCCATACTAATTCACGAACAAGTCTTGGTTCTTCAAATCCAGGAGATGTATTTTAGTCTCCTATGGTAGACAGCTCCAAAAAACGAGCTAGTGATCAGTGTCCCTTGACTCATAAGTTGAAAAGTTAAAGACAAAGGCTCCCACTGGCAACAACAACAACAAAAAACAAACAACAGGTACTGAATGGGGAAAAGAGGGGGAAAAAAGTTGCTACTTTAATCCGAGTCAATCAGTCCCTTCACTTTCAATAATAGACATGGGAAGTTTGCTTCCTGTGGTCATCTTTTTCACATCCTGGCTTGAACAGATAAAAATCCTTCTTACCATATTACAAAATTCCCTGCAAGGATGTAAATTATAAGACGGTAAGATAAATTCTGAAAGAGGCTTCTCTTTATTACAAAATGAAAAAAAAAAAGGAAAATAGCATGCATCAAGTAACTTACGGCCATGGGTCATCGCCTACAAGCATCATATCCCCTTCATCATCAGTGTAGACGATCTCCCACTTATTCCTTGGGTGAAGCTCTCCCTTAATATCAAACATCTCCTCTAATTCATCTATAAGCTGATCATATCCTGCCAACATGGTCAAGTCAACAGCACGACCAACAGCAACTCCGTGCATCTGAACCTGTTCACATATGCAACCCAAAAGAGAGTTTATTGGAAATTCTTCATAGTAGTAGATGGTTTTTCAATCGAATGAAAATGTTACTTTCAATACCTTAGTACGACTTCTTGTAGAATTAGGACTTTGCCTGCTCTGGATCTCTTTTGCCGATACCTGTAACTGTTCCTGTTGCTTCTCTTTAGAATCTTTTGAATTGTCAGGTTTCTGGTCAGAATCAGTGGGTGACGACAGAATAGTTGGACCATGTCCTTCAGTTGTACCAGCAGTCACCTTAGAAAGTTGTGTGGATGTCCTCTCCACTGGAGTTGTTGAGCCCACAGAGTGGTTTATCAGTTCAATACCAAACAATCGACAACTAGCTGCTGTCTCAGATTTCTTTAACTTTTCAATTGGATCAAAGGTTAAATCATCCTTCAGTTGTGGATTTGAAAAGCCTGAAAGAAGAGGCCAACCAGAGACACTTTTGCTATCCTCTCTTGCATCAGGAAACAGATGCTGAGAAACACTCATGCCAGAAGACAGCCAGCTTCCTTCATTTTGAGTCTTCGAGACAGAGCTGCAACTACTGTTTACTTGTGCCCGCATGTGATGCCACATGACATGATTCTCATTTCTTTTAGCTTCAGCAGAAATGTTACGCTGAGTTGGATCATGGGAATGCATCACTCCAGAATTCCAAGGAGCTGATGCTGTTGTTGACATATCTATATTATTCAAAGAGAGCAAGTCAGATAGAACAAACATAAGTATAAAAATAGATGAATAATACAAGGAAAAGTATGTCTTACATAGAGCAGGATTTTCAGTGGGCGGTCGAGGCCGTTTGTTCTTAGCTGCATTCGGTTGAGCCAGAGCTGGTGGAATTGGAGCAACAAAGGGTTCTATCTCCCATGGTGAAACCCTGTCAGGCCTCTGAATAGAGGCAGGCTCATCCCATTGTACCTGTTGAGAAGCATTAAGAAGTCTTAGATTAGATGTACATGACCAGCCATAACAATTTAAAATAAAGTTGGAGAAATTATGTAAGAACAAGTTACCTTCAATGAACGCCATTTTGAATCTTTCCAGTGAGGAGAAAAATCTTCAACCCCAACAATTGTTGCAGAAAACCTTATCAATCAAGGAATGTTGAGTAAGTACTTAAAGAAAAGATTTTTCTTTTTTTTTTTCTTTTAAAAGAAATCGCCAACTGAGAACAATCCTGTGGTTAAGTTCTAGTACCTTCTCTCAGGAGAATCTTCCCCTTCAAACCTCATCTTAAATCTCATGCCAACTACAAACTTATTATTAAGGGCATCTAAATATTTGTTCAACCCGATGATGAACTGACTTGTCCTGATATTTACATGAAACAAATATGAGAAAATAAAATAATAATCTCATTTTTAGCAAATAGATAAATATTATACCTTGGCTTATAGTAGACAACAAAGAGGGACTGAGTTAAAACAGCATGAGATGCAGTTGCAAGCACTCCTAAGTGCATATTCTGACTTGATATGACTGATGACGGCATGCTGCTCAGTTGGTGAGCTACACGCCTAACTCCGACACGAAGCTCCCCACTCTCTCCTCTAGGGGATCAAGTATTAAATGAATAATTCATTGGCCACAATACAAATAAACACAAAAAGCAAAGGGCAGAACACATGCAGAGAAACAGAAAAACATCAAAGTGGACAAAAAATGAAAAAAGAAAAAAAAAAAAAGACATCTACCTCAGGAACACAAAGGAATCACCAGCGACTAATCGCTTTGAAGTTACAAATGTACTCCATCCTGTTGTCAGCAAATGCCTCCTTGGTTGGCCTGTTCAGTCAATCATAAACAAATAAATCATGATTTGCCCAATCATGGTGGAGGTACCTTTAACATAAAATGAGAGGTCAAACATAAAGGCTTAAAGTATCTCATATCTACCAAATCCAGGGCACCTTAATGTCAAAAGTCTGAATGAGAAAAACGATAAATAAGGTGTTTTGGTTACCTCTGAATATATGCTTAAAGCGCCACTCGTAACCATGAAGATCCTTTGCAACCAATTCCTGGGTTGGCGTTGCCTGGTTCATGTCCTGAAAGAAAATCACTTTAAATAATCAATATGATGAAAATCTCTGACAAAAAATGAAAAAGGCCAAAACAAATAGCTTGATCTAGAACACAATACCAGTGGAGGAAGGCATTCAGTGGCATGTTTTCGAAGAACAGAAAAGCCTCCATGGGTGCTTGTATCTGAGGCTGTTAAAACCTTGCAGAATGAGTACACGGTAGGTCTTTGAGGCTCAGGAGGGCATTCATCAGGAGTTGTTGGCTCAGGTTGCTATAGATGCAAAAACCATAATTGGAAATCAGTAATTTCAAACAACATAACATGAAGAGAGAGAGAGAGAGAGAAACAACTTCGTTTTTGCATTCTGATACTGAGAGATGTTCAAACCAGAAAGGAATAAAATTGATTACTTACATTTGGTTCCGGCAACAAAGTTAATTGTGCATAAACTTCATCAGTTTCTTGTTCAGCCTAGAAGCAGCAAAGTCAATAAAAATTATCCCCAAATCAATCATGTTGATAGAATAATATAATGACCCACTTTGTCTACATCACTTGACATCGGACAAAAAAATAAACCCTATTTATCTAGCCAGTAAAACTAATTACTCAAAAACAAAAAGTTATTCAAATCCTAAGGTTTAGATTCTCTTCAAGATCAAAAACAATAAAAACAAATAGATCCAAATATTTATTCCACTTCTCCTTTTTAATGTTCTTCAATTGATCATCAACCAAACAGACAACCAAAACAATGTAAATTGAAAAATCAGATATGGAAAATTACCAGCATCTGAATATGAACAACACGGCAAAGAATCTTCGATGGAAGATTAAACAACGGAATCCTCTGATTCAACTCCTGATTCGTGGACGCTTCCAACTAAAATAAACCCACCAAAAATAGCAATAATTCAATCAACAACCCGTTTCGAACATTTCCATAAAAACACAATTAATTTCCAAATAAAACAAGCACGCAAAAAAGAAATCAGATCCAAAAAAAGGAAAAAGAGAAAATACTAGCCTGTTCCATATGCCCTTGAGGAAAATAGTAAACCCTCTCTTCAGCTCGAGGAACCTCAACCAGTGGTCCGGCACATAACTTCCATAACTCCATATACAGATCATCCCTTCCGTTTCCTATCACACAATAGGGAAATGAAAACCTTCAAAAGAAAAAATTCCAGAAAAAATAAAGTAGAAGAAGGAAATGTCTTTTACCTTCAGAGGATACATTATTTGTCTGCGAAAACGATCCGACTCTATTCGCCATTGAAAACTATCTAACTCACCTAGTCAACAAGCAGTAGTAGTAGCAGAGCAGCAATTTCAAAAACCAAATAAACCATCCAAATCGCTTATTATATACACCTAATCACCAAATAATTATGAGTAATAACAAAGCTATCATCAACACGATTTAACTGCTCGACTCTTCGACATGCCGTTTTTTGCCCTCTCCGTAACGATCGCGAGATCCAAATACCGTAACTGAAAACCGCTTTAACGGTTACAATACCGCTTTTACTTCAGCTGGAGAAAAAGGCTTTTGGCTTCAACTTTTCCACTTCTTTGTCTGAAAAGGCAGAGAATCCCCCCTAAAATCGCTTCGCGCGAGTCTAATATTAAGCGGCTCTGTTTTGTTGTCTGCCTTTTAACTCCGGTTCTTTCTCTTTGGTTTGGTTTTTCTTCTGTGGAAATAAATGTTTATCGCGTGTTTAAGGCTTAATTTAACTAACTCGCTGATTAACTCCAGTTCGGGATTTAACCAGGAAGGGAGGTTAATGGATCCTTGAGGGGTTAACGTGACGGACGTTTTGACGGCGAACTATAAAATGCCGTTACTTAACGGCGTTATACGTACGGTTGATTAGGCATCGGGATGCGTGTGGTTGGGGAAACGGTTGAGAGGCGTTATGTGTGATATGGACGTTACTTATCGCCGTTTGTTGCCGTCTCTTTCGTTGTCTGCTTCCAAACAGGCAACAGGGTTGGCTTGAGTTAACCCGGCAGAATTTTGGGGTTTTTTTTTTTATTCAAAGGAAGACTTGGGGATTAAATGTTTGTCCTCGGAAGATGCGTGGTAATTACGAGATTCTACCATAAGTTGTGGGCTCCACATGACCACGTGAGATGTGTTGGATCTTGTTCCTTGTAAAAAGGATAGGGTAAATTAAAAAGCTTAGTCACTTTTATTTTCAGTTTTTTAATTTCGTTAGCAATTTACGCAAAATTATATTTGGAATGGCAATGGGTTCGATCGGGTCGGGTAAGATTTTCAGTTCACCCGAACTCAATCTGAGCATTAAAGTCCTCTACCAGCATTCAATCCGACTTGGATTTAGGAGGGCCCCACTAGACTGAACGCTCTGCTAATTTTTTAGGTCAAAACTTGTACTTGATTCAACTTAAATATATATTTTTTTTATAAAAATTCATTTTATTAAATAAAATAAATATCTAATTGAAAAAATAATATAAGAAAGAGTACTATTGAAATCATCTCTATATGTATAAGGGATAATTATAATATTATGTCGAGTCTCGTCAGATCGAATTTTTTCACTCTAATTCTAACATGACCCAAACCCAAAAATTTAAGAAAAAAAATGACCCAATTATTTTGAATTCGGTTAGAAATCATTCAATCGGGTTGAAATTGTCATCCCTAAACATATTGATAATATAAGTAGTGTGAACCAAGAGATTGTAAAGGTTAAAGGATTGTTGTTGTCCCTTGAGATTTCGGGTTTGAACACCGCATATGCAGAGGTGTGAGCATTCATTATTAAATAATTGAAAATCTTAAACATATATTATCTTGTATTCACTACAGATTTATATATATATATATATATATATATATATATGATAAAATAAGTGATCAGAATGTAAATTTTTCAAAATTAATGACCAAATAAAATAGACAAAATAAAAGTGAGCACCCGTAGAATTTACCTAGAAAAATAAAAGAAGTGTTCTTTTTCCAGACAATCTGCGAGCGGTTCGGGTGGTTCTCGCCGGTACACGTCAAACCAATTTGCCAAATTGGAGTTTACACGTTGTTTGGTCCATGTGGGGTCCCCTGTCCACGTGTATTCCTTTTATCGTTGTCGTTTTCGAATAATTGACTCCGTCCCATCATCTATTCGTCCTCGATTTTTCACTTTCTTTTCGGGAAATGTGTATATACTTCTCCGATTATTTCGAAAAGATCAACGAAGCTTTTCATACTTTTACAATTAATTTTAGGGTAAAGTATATAAATGGTCACTTAACTTTTTAGATGTTTGCATTTAGGTCTCACAACTTTTAAAACTTACAACACAGATACCAAACATTTAGTTCATTGGCAATATGGTCCCCAACATAACGGCCGTTTCACTACCGTTAGGATAAATTATATAAATTGTCACTGAACTTTTCAGGCGCTTGTATTTAGGTCTCCCAACTTTTAAAACTTACAACACAATCATCAGCTATATTCTAAACATCAAATTCCAAAATACTTCAATTGCATGCCCAATCCCAAATTCACAATTCATTCTCAAAATTTGTCATAACAAATTGAACTTGAAGTAGTAACCCTAAACCCTCAAAACTTAATCATTTTGAAAAAAAAATTAACCAACTATAAGTGAACAATAAGTGATTATGTTGGGTTTAGGGTTTAAGGTTATATTGGACCTAAATACTCAATTCAGTTTATAAAATAATTAACTCGAAATATTTTCGATTTGAATTTATAAAATTCAAATCAAGTCGAATTGAATTGAATTTTTGAGTTTCTATTTAAATTTAATTATAAATATTTATCATATTATAATATTATTTGATTCTAATCCAGTTCAGTTTATAAAACAGTTGACTCGAAATTTTTTCGATTTGAGTTTATAAAATTTAAATCAAGTCGAATTGAATTGAATTTTTGAGTTTCTATTTAAATTTAATTATAAATATTTATAATACTATAATATTATTTGATTCTAATTTAATTTTTTTAACCATATACAGTACATATATTTCTTCATATTTTTTCATATGTGATATACATATATTATACAGAGTCAAGGGAATTGAACCAGACTTAAAAATTAATCCACTAATTACTAAAATTTTTTAGATGTTCAAGTTGTATTTTACAACTAGATTTTAACTTGAATTTTTTTTAAGTTGAGTTTATGAAATTACAACTCAAAGTCAATTTGTATCAAATTTGTTGAATCAATTATAGTCGAAAAAATAATTTTTTCAAATCGAATTGAGTATTGTTCACTTATAGTTGGTTAAATCTAACTATTAAATCCTAAACCCAACATAATCACTTATTGTTATGGACTCAAAATGAACTAAATGTTGTTGATTATATTGGGTTAATTGGTGGGGAAATTTAGTATTTAGGGTTATGTTTTGATGGGTTAGGGTTGCTGCTTCAAGTTCAATTTGTTATGGTAGATTTTGAGAATGAATTATGAATTTGGGGTTGGGTATGTAATTGAAGTATTTTGGAATTTGAGGTTTAGAATATAATTGAAACATTTTAGAATTTGGGGTTTAGAATATAATTGATGAATGTGTTACAAGTTTTAAAAGTTGGGGGGACTTAAATGCAAGTGTCTGAAAAGTTCAGTGATAATTTATATAATTTACCCTAACGATAGTGAAACGGTCGTTATGCTGGGATCATATTACAAACGAACTAAATGTTTGGTGACTGTATTGTAAGTTTTAAAAGTTTAGGGATCTACATGCAAGCATCTGAAAAGTTCAGTGACCATTTATATATTTTACCCTTAATTTTATCAATAACTAAATAACTTAATGAATATTAATTGTTAAAAAATTTAGTGCAAAAAATTAATTAAATTTTCTAGTCAAAAAATTAATTAAGTATACTCTTAATTAAAAAAATATTTTTTTTATAATTTTTAAACACATGATTCTATTTTTAAAATTTTTAAATTAAAGGTCTATTTTAAAAACTAATTAAAATTTTTAATCATTTTTTTTAATCAATGACATTTTAATTGAGGTATATTAACAATAAGTCATTCAAGATTATATTTGGGTAAACAATGAGGTGAAAAAAAATTGAAATAATAATCTCCGGAGTTTATTTTTTCAAGTAAGATTTTATTTATAATATGTCAGAGAAGACGATAGAATTACATGGCGTATTCGATGAAGACACTTGAATTACAAGGCATCTTCTACATTTCTTCTACATAAAAGACATTGTACTATCTGACCGTCCTTCGAAAAGACGTCATATCGTCTAGCTATCTTCTCAAAACACTATAAAATTCTCTCTAATTAAATCAAAATAAAAAATCAATTGTAACGCATTTTTAAAAAATCTCACTATCCTGTATGGACATTTATATCATTTTAAAAAAAATGATGATTTGTTTATTTAATACCAACTTTAATTTTTGTTTTCAATTTAACAAATCAATCAATTGGGTATCATATTCCTCCTTTAATTTGCACCTTTGAAATTTAACTTAAATATATATTATCTATATAGCACAACTAAGAGGATAAAATCTATCACAACCGATTTTCTTATGTGCTCTTCCTATTCTTCAATTATGTTCATAAATTTTCAAATTGATTTTAAAATCATTTGAAATATTATTTTTTATATAATTATGTGCAACAATAAAATATAGCTTAATGGTTAATGGTGGATGGATTTATTGCATATTCAGAAGAAATCCACACATCGATGGATGTAAGATTTTATATTTAAAGACGAATTTATAAAATTTTAGTCGATAGTTTTATTATGCCATGGGTAAAACTAAGGTTAATTTATAATAAATTTTAGCATAAATATTATCATGTCTACTCCAAAAGTTATATAATTGATAATAATTTGAGTTACAGCCGAGAATGTTACATTGCACGGTTTTAACCTAAAACGTTATCATGTCTACTCTAAAAAGTTGTATAATTGATAACAGTGGCAAATCCATTCATTTCCTAGGGTGAGCACGTGCTCATTCTGAAATCTTATTTTTCTTCGACTATTTACATATTTTATTGATTGTGCCTACCCTGAAATTTTATTGGTGCATATCTCATACAAAAATTTTGTTTTATTTATATATGTGTGTGCACCATAAAAAAATTATAGATCCGTCATTGATTGACAATAATTTCGATTACAACCGATAATGTTACAAATGTTTCTTAATGATAACTTTTTATGTTGCAACCAGAATAGTTACGCAATTTACATAATTTGTTATTGAGAACATAATAATTTTGATTTTAATCTAAAATTTAATTCGGATTACCCTAAAAAATGTATACATTTAATAAAATTTTCGGTTACTAAAATGTTAAAAAAAACGATCATTTTCGTCCGTTTTC